TTTCTCCTCCAGTGACAGATGTGACCTGTTTCTTAAGCTGTTGGTAGTCTGTGATTTGCAGATGATGCTCCATTCTATCTGTGTGGTGTCCTTCAATTTCCAGAAATATTTAGATAGAACTGTTTCATGTTTTAAGAAAGTGCCACAGCATGATTGTTTGTGATAATAGAGCCTCTGTTTCCAACTTCCGATATATATATTTTTTATTCATAACATTTTCTTTCGGGAAGATTGTTGCCTGGTATATCACATTTTCAAATTTACATTTACTTCCAACTGAGCAATTGTCTTTGTTTCTACAATTGCAAGAGGGCTTGATATCTAATTGGATGTTATTGTAAAATTTATATAATATTTTATTATTAAGGCCAGTAATAATATTATACAGGTTGCTGGAGCAGGAATAACTAATTTTTAAAGTATTTCTATTAAAAATTGTATGGAGTTGGTTGTTTTGATTAAAATGTTTATCAATTAATTTGAGAACGTATTTATCAATATTTATGTTAGATAATTTGCAGAAAGGGTGGGGGCTTAAACTATATTACTTTTCGTTTTCTGTATTTGGTTTTAGTCTTTATATTATCTTTTAAGGATTATTGATAAAATAATTTTTGTTTAAAGTCACTTTTTTAGGGCTTCATGATAAGTTTTTATCTTTTCATTGAAAACTTTATTCTTAGGGGATAATCTATTAATTCTAGTGTTTACGGTGTTTGGAATTTGTTTAATTATTGAACTCGGGTGATTACCATTGATGTTAATATAAACAGGAGTTTGATTGTCTTTGTGGCATAGTTTAAACGCATAGTTCGAAAGTGATATCCAAGAAATTGATTTGATGAGATCTCAATTTTAAACCCAAGGAAACTGAAAGCACTTGTGATCTTTTTCTGCATATTAGACGATAGTGGACCTTTACTATCAGGTATAAAAATAAGTCCGTCATCTCTGTACAAACCAACCAATCAATAATTCTGCTAAGAGTATCCAATATATATGTCTACTAATTCAGCTATTTGAGCGGTGTTATAGGCACCCATAAGAACGTCAAAGTTATCATTGAAAATTTTAATCCAAGTGGAATTATTATTTGATAATAATGGTTTTCTGGAAGCTAAGATAACGTCGACTTCATTTTCGGTAATGTGTACATAATTGTTAGCAAAATTTAAAAATATTAATAAAAGATCTTTGGAAATGGAAGAGTAAAAGTCTATGATGTCGAATTGAATGAAAGTGGTCTTATTTTTATACTTAATTTTATGGAACCAATTTTAGTATCAGAAAAATCTTTCCAAATTTTGTTATAAGAGGTATCTAGTATCTTATGGATTATTTTACAAATTATATTTTTAGAAATTAAATCTAATTCAGTTTTGGAAGGGTTGATCAATCTAAATTATTGGTTGTTCTCGAAATGGGGTTTATGGTCCTTAAATAGTAAACAAGCATTTTTCATGTGATTTTCCGCAATCTGAACTTTATAGAGAATTTTTTTGCTATTTGTTAATAATAGAAATGGTATCATTATTTTTGTTTAGTTTGCAAGTATTTGTTATTTTGTTAGAAAACAATTTGTGATATTGGGTGGGGTTAATCGTATAAATATTTCTAGACTTGTCGGCTCTAACCCACATATATTTTGAGTTATTAATCATTTTAATGACTTTGTTTATATTATGTTGGAATTAGATGATTTTCTAAATCTAATTTTATTTAATGAAGTTTAAAATATCAGCTTCGAAATGATCTAAGAGTTTGCTGCTTGGTAGAGATTTTTGAGATTTTAGATCGTAATTATCATTTTTGAAAACTTCTGCTTCAGAAGGGTTTGAGTAAAAGTAGGTTTAAGAATAATAATTTTATACGTGAGAGACAAAGTGAACGAATGTAAAGATATATAGGGAATGTTTTTTAAGGAAAAGTCTGGTGTAAATATATCCATTTGGTTGGAGTGATCCGTAAATAATAATGTTTTTCAAGTTGGATTATTCCAGAAAGAGCTCAGCTTATGTTACATTTTCTCCTCATAACCTTTTATAATAATTACCAATATTTTTTTCAGATAATTCTGTAATCTATGAGTGTTGAGGAAAGCAAACGTCAAAGGGTGTGTGATAAGATAAACGCACATTTTCAACCACAGAAGATTTCAAGCATAGTTAGTGTATTCCTACGGACATTTTTTAATCTGAAGAAGAAAATGACTATGAGAAAGTCTTAAATAAAGAGAATTTCCTGACGAAGGATAAATTCTCTTTATTAAACACTCTCGAAAAATCCAGGTCGGTATACGAAAATATACTGTTTAAAAAAAAAACAAAGACGTCTACTCAAATACGTGTGTTCACTAATTATAGATGGTGAAGAAGTAATGTTGGACTATCGATAAAAATTCCTTAATAAATTTGCTTTCATTTCATATATATATATATATATATATATATATATATATATGGAGAAATATAGTCTTAAGATGTGCTATATTTATGGGATAAATTATTCAATATCAGAGATAGAGCGTGTAAATATAAAAGTGAACATAGAAGTCAACACTTAGAGGCGACAGTCTGTTTCATGCTAGATGCAATTGTCAGGTAGCCTGACGATTGCATCTAGCATGGAACTGACTGTCGCCTCTTCTATAGTGTTTTATATATATATATATATATATATATATATATATATATATATATATATATATATATATATATATATATATATATATATATATATATATATAAAACCACATAAAATCACATTCAACATGGTAATAAATCTATTTCGACAGATAATTTTTACCTGTCTCTTCAGGCCGACATATTTTAACAAATAAATTCATTCAGACATTTAAAAAATAATGCATTACAAAATAAACCGGACAAAACTGGATAAAAAAAGAAAGAAAAGAAAAAATGCAAAATATACCGAAATAATCACGTAAAACGTTATTTTTAGCGGATACTCGTAATTTGAATAGAACTTGCATTTATTTTTGAGGCAACATATTTATTTATCTATTGTCTAACAGCTTGGATGTTCGAGAAATTTTATTAAAAATTACCTACCCCATCTGACAGGATTCGAACCTGATTGCTTCTGGATAGTAGGCGCAATTGCCAAATGCAATACACGCCGACCAACTGACCTACAATGAACCACATAGTCATATAAGGCCCCAATTGTATCTTTAAACGAAACTTTTCACGTCATAGATCTCCCAAAATTTACATATCTGCATAGTTTCGTATGCACTAAAGTTTAATGTGACAAAAATCTGTCTTTTGTTAGATAGATAGATAGATAGATAGATAGATAGATACCCGTGCGCATCCATCAAAATATTACAAATGAAGGGGCACACGTATACCGGCTACTTCTTTTTAAAAGAGACAGTGAGAAGATGCAAAAAGCTGAAAAATATTACAAGTCACCTCGTTGGGATATAATGAATACATAAACTAGTTTTTATTTAGCTAGTTATCTCCCCTTATAAATCTTTGAAGTCTCTTTACGCGGCCTTTTCCTTTTTGCTTTTCAATTTGTCTCGAATTTTATACGCATTTTATCGATGTTGTTCTTTTTGCTAAAAATCGATTCCAAAGGGATGAAACGAATCCCATCACCCCACTTCTTCCTCCCAAACAAATCAAATAACTACAAATATGATTGTCATGGAACCAATGCTTACCAAATGACAGAAAAAGTGTCCTTCGAAGCGGTATATATTCATTTGATGTTTCATTGTTTTTTGAGATGTCTGTTCGCCTTTGACTGCCAAAAGAGTTTATGGTGTCATTTACATTCAATCAAAGCAGACGATATTTAGTCAAAAGTTTTCTTCTTCCTTTATTTATTTACCCATAAAAAAATAAGCAAAATAATACGATTATAAAAATTCCTAAAATGAGAGAGTAATGAGTTCTTCCTGTTTTTTATTTTTTTTATTTTTTTTTATTTTCGTTTTTTTGTATGTGTTTTTTTTTTTTTTTTTAATGAGGATCTCCATCAAAAACAAAGAAAAATAAATTTAGTTCCACTTTTTTCCTTGGAGAGCAATTTTTTTTTAAAAAGTTAAACATTCCACTTTATAACGATTTCAGTAATTCTGATCTTATTTATACTTAAAGAGATCTTTTCGAATTGAAAACAGTTTAAATTTACAAACAATTTATAGCATGAAAACAATATCCGTCTTTATAAACAGATAAACATGAATCATTCATCTCTCTTGAATAACATTTGAACACAAAAAGAGTTTCAAGCGACGGTGGAGTAATGGATAGCAGCTCCGACTGAAGAATCGGAGAGCCGAGTTCGAATTCCACAAGACGATTTGACGGCGTGTAAGTGGAATGGCTGGTCATGTTGCCCGTTTGAACATTTTCCATAGCAATAGTGATAGAATAGTAATAACGATAAGGTGTTAATAGTGATAGAGTAGTAATAGTGATAGGGTAGTGGGAAGCTAGCAACATTTCGTCTGCAGGGAAGTGGGTGCAGGATAAAGTCGTCGTAGAATTACTTTGCTTGTGATACTATGTTAAACTTCTTTCTGAGATTATTTGATCGCCCCATCAATGCAAATTTTTCATTTTGCTTACTTCTAGCGTGCAATGCTATACTCTCTTTCCAGTCAATACATGATCAGCTGTACTTGATTTCACATTCTAAAATTAGATGACATATAAACGAAGTATAAAGAAGCGGTCATTTCGTTCGAAACAAAGAAAAAAAAAGTGCTGAACTACCAATTCATATCAATCTTCATATATGGCAGTGAATGCCGAGAAGTTTGTTCATAGATAAAAAAGCGACTCAAATTAATACTGTAATACTGTTCAAAAAAGGAATCTGAGAATAACATAGCTTAAATATGTGAGTAACGAGGAAGTTTTAAGGTTTTAATGATTTATTGATTTTTTAGAGTATATGCCAAGATATATATCAAAGAATGCTGTCCAAAATCATATCACGAGATAACTATTTAGATAATGTTAAAATATTATATATAAGATAGATAGATAGATAGATAGAAATGAAATAAAGAGAAAGAGATAGATAGATAGATAGATAGATAGATAGATAGACAAACAGCTAGATAAAATAAAGGGAAACAGATAGATAGATAGATAGATAGATAGATAGATAGATAGATAGATAGATAGATAGATAGATAAAGCGAAATGATAGATCAATACATCGATTGAATAAAGAGAAATGCTAGATCGATATATAAATTGAATAAATAGAAATGATAGATAGATAGATAGATAGATAGATAGATAGATAGATAGATAGATAGATTTTATATACGATACATTTTGTGATTGACCACTTTTGTTTTGTGAGTAAAGTCCGAAGGCCAAAATTTATCACGAGGAAGTTTGTAAACTCTAGAGCACTGTGTTTACTTTTACTAGACAACTGTATTAATTGAAGAACATTATTCTCCATATTTTCCAGTTTTTTGTAGATCATAATAACTTTTAAAAGGTCTACATTCATATGTCGACACACACTGGACCAAATTTTTAAAATGTCTTTATCGAAATACATCTGTAGATACTAAATAATAAATAAAAATGTGTTACTTTGTTTTTCCAAGAAAAGCAATGCAATTCTTTTCCTATACTTTTTCCAATACGCGATGATTTACATATATTAGCTCATATAAACTTACCTCGCTTTTTTCTTTCAAACGAATACTTATAAAAAAAACACTTCTCTCACACCCACGCAGACAAACTTTCAAACTTTGAATAATGCATATATTTATACGTACATCTATGCATCAACACACGCATATATGCAAACACACATACATAGATACATATGTATATGTGTGTGTGTGTGTGTGTGTGTGTGTGTGTGTGTGTGTGTGTGTGAATATCTAACTAGCCATCTATCAATAACTAGTATTTAAGTCTTATGCATATAAGTAAATGTAGATATGAATGTAATGTTTGGATTTAGCTGATCCAAAGTAAGATTAAAGACCTAGGGGAGACTTAAATCTAGCTAGAAAGAATATATACACACACACACACACACACATGCATACATACATATATATATATATATATATATATATATATATATATATATATATATATATATATATATATTAATTTAGTATGAAAATAACGAAAATGAGAAATTACACAATCAAATGCAGAAACTTTATGACAGCGAGTGGACTGAGTAATTACAAAACAAACTCTTCTACGAGACTCTGGAGTCGGTGTGCTAAATATAATAAAGATCAGCTAAGAGAAAATTTTATATTTGAATTAACTATATATATATATATATATATATATATATATATATATATATATATATATATATATATATATAACTATGATAATATTATAACTATATTACTACCATATATATATATATATATATATATATATATATATATAACTATTATTATATTATAACTATATTACTACCCTATATATGGTAGTGATATAGTTATAATATAATAATAGTTATATTTTAATAATAATATATTTTATAGTAGTTAGAACGTTCACATTCTAACTATGAGACGGTTTCGAATCTCACGATGGTCGATATGTCAGGAAGGAAACTTCCTGATTTTATAGGAGTGGAGGGGTCGAAAGTGCCTGAAAACCATACTATGGGTTGACCCAAGCCTTGCGAGTGAAATTGGACAGACGGAACTCTTGTAGGCCGTCGATAGCTGTGCTAGCAGGAAGTCACAAGTCGAAGTGGCCGCAGACTTGAGTCCGCTAGCCTTGTTCAAATTGTTGATTACGCTAGATAACACGCTCTTTCCCAGAAACTGTAAGTAACGTCTGCTCGGCATAGTTGCAGTATAAAACAATTTTTTTGTTGAATAAACACAAATGCGCCTGTGCAAACGTCTGCAATAGGGATTGGCTGTCCACCCTAGTAGACTGGTATACAAATACGAGTGGCCAGCTGTACATACATACATTTTATATAATAAAAACTTTGTCCATTTCATAATGTGTGATGTCATTTGTTTACATTAGATACGCCATGAGCAGATATGAATGTACGTGAGAGATTCAGGGAAGATTGAATTCAAATACTGTAAATTCAACCTTGCTAACCGAACGCTCCTTCGTGGCCAAATCGGTAAAGACACGTCAAGCTAAATGACGGGTTCGTATAGGATACAGGTTCGAATCCTATCGCAGGACGAATAGTTTCTGTGAAAATTTTTCGGACATTCAGGCTGGTAAATGTTGTTTAATACTGTTTATTATAAACAGAGCATTTACTTAAATATTTTTATCTATAAAAAGATTGTTAAACATAAAAATGTCTTTATATATATATATGGTAATAATATAGCCCTCTTCCTACAAGGAATCAATTGGCATTCATTGACCGAACCAGTGTAGTTTGAAATGTATTAAATCCTCCTCTCAAAATATTTTTTTTCAGAAAAACAGGTTTCTCATGTCCAGTACCCTTTATCGCTCTTTACAGTATTGACGGAGGTTTCCTTCCTAACCTTTTGTTTGGTGTAGTTCGGATCATCAGCATCTTTGTTATGTCATTATTTTTTCTTGTTTTGTTTGTAATTATGTAGTACCAGTTCGAAAATGGATGGTCTTCGTCAAGACCAACAGTCTTCACTCACTGACAGACATTTTGAACCATTGACAGTTTAAATGTTTCTAAAAGGGTTTGGTCGCATGCATTACTTCCATATGAAAGTATCGACCTCATGAGACTATTTAAGAAAGGATCCACCAATGTGAGTTTATATTAAAGAAAACAAGAACGATTTATCTCTATCTATAAAAGGCAGGATGTGTGTGTGTGTGTGTGTCTGTGTGCGTGTGCGTATGCGTGTGTGTGTGTGTAACGAATGCACAGCCGCAATTTTCGACGGATTTGCACCAAAATTTACATGAAACATGCTCCAAGTTAGCGGGAAGGCCAAGACCGACTTTGCATTTCCCAACTCCCATCGATAGTGAAAATAATCGATTTTTTCATGCTTCTATGGCAGTTTTCATTTAGGTTGCGGCCGTTTTCTACTGGCCAGAGTGAGAGCCTAGAGCTGGCTGCCACGAATAGGCAGGAAAATTCTACTGGCCAGCGTGGGAGCCAACAGCTGACTGACACGAATGTTAACTAGCATGTTAGCATGCAAAAAATTGATAGCTGCATTCGTCACAAGTGGGAAAAATTTAAATCTGCATGGCACTTTACTCCAATTGGCTCATTCGCTTGCTTAAACTCAACGTTGATTCTGATTCCGCAGAACTGGGTTGGGTGTGAAACAGTATTTGTTGTTAACATTCTTTTTTCATTCGGTTTTTCCAGTTACGAGCCCTTTTTAAAGCTGATCGTTTTGTGCTCATTTTGTTTAGTTCTTTTTTCGTAACAGATTTAATGTTTAGTATAGAGCTTAGAAAAAATTTGCTGTGTGAGATATGCAAGAAGTAAAGCATGTAGCAACATCATCACAGCAAAGGGCACTCCTTTAAAGGCAAGGAAGGGCAAAAATATTTTAAGTCAAGTAGTAGCGATTGCTGTATGAGTCATACGATTTTTGAATCAAGCACGGGCAACGCCGGGCCATGCTGCTAGTCAAAGATAAAAAGCAAAAATAATTGACTGAGATCTTTGGAGCCCACTGAAAACTATTTATTGCTCAGGAAACTACAAAAAATGAAACACCGTTGGGCAGAGCAGAATTTTCAGCCAATAGGCACCACCGAGCGGGAGGGAATGAAGGACTATGCATTTTTTCACACCGATAAACTAGTGATGACGGTATCAGAAAAACCCTCTTAATATGTTGTTCATCTTTCATCGGCCGAATAAGTCACATAGCGCTAGATCCTAACTAAAAGGTGAGCGTAAATGTTCAGCAAGCGTCGATGCATAGCCATGGAGGCATTTTGTTTCCGCACGGGTAAATTCCGTGACACAACTCAGTTACATACGCACTTTCATGTCAGACGCCATTTAGCAACATGGCAAGTGGGAATATGGCGGGAAGTTTCGACCTCTACTCACATTTCGTCTACATCTTCCTGATGTCAGATTTGGTGAAATTTTAAGTATTAAATGAAATGGAGAACATTTCAGTAATAACTAATATATATATATATATATATATATATATATATATATATGATAAAATATAGTTATATATATATATATATATATATATATATATATATATATATATATATATATATATATATATATCAGGGATAGAGCGTATGTAAATATAAAATGGACATTGGCGTCAACACCCAGAGGCGACAGTTTGTTTCATGCTAAACGCAATCGTCAGGCCATGGGCGTCCAGTATCATTTCCTCTGGTATTTGAGCACATTCTTCTTCCATTGCTACTCTCATTTCAGCAATTGTTTCAGGTTTCCTGCTGTAAAATTTGTCTTTTAAAAATCTCCACAAAAAGAAATCCAAGGGTGTCAAATCTGGTGATCCAGGTGGGTATTCAGCAGTCTTCCAATCCATCTGTTTTGAATATTCTCATCCATATAAAAATGCATTATTAACTATTAACATTTAAAGAGTGTATACTACTAATCGACAATGAAGACGCATGGATAAAGAAAGAAGGAACATTTTACACTACAATAGGAAGCTTTGACAGTGCAGAGACCTGCGAACTCAGAGGTATATATTTGCTACACGAACTAAGTAAAATAATCGATAGAAATGATACAGGACTCTACAGGGACGACGCTCTCAAAATCTTAAGAAATCAAGTAACAAACAAAAACACAGCCCAAACTAGAAAAACAAACCTAAAGATTAGCATGCAACAGACTGTCGCCTCTTCAATGTTCATATCATATATATATATATATATATATATATATATATATATATATATATATATATATATATATATATATATATAACTATTGATAAGACCCCTATGAAAAGTAAAACTATTATAAGAAAAAGGAATACCTACTGAGTGTGAAACAATACAACAAAAGGGAATACACACACACACACACACACACACACACACACATATATATATATATATATATATATATATATATATATATATATATATATTCAGTTAATATGGATATGAGTTTGTGACCCTGGGTTTCACGCTTTTCATATCATAAGACAAAAAATATCCGTAGAAACTCATGTCCATACAACTGAATACGTTATCTCTGTCACAGATGTTGAACGCTTTCCACAAAGTACTACACATACAAAATAATATATATATATAAATTATACATATATATATATATATATATATATATATATATATATATATAACATTTACATTCTTCGGCCTGTTGTTTTCATCTTTATTGCTATATTCACAACGTTTCGACCATTTTACGATCGGTCTTCTTCAGGTGATTGGAATTTCGAACTGAACCTTTTATTTCGTCAACCGGGGTAGATTGTTCTAGTTCCACGCGCAATATCTCTTCCGGGTGTCTCGGTTATCTTCCTTTAACTCAACTCTCCAAGTATTTTGTTTACCCCGGCAGTCATCAGGTTTTGAAATCACACTGGATCAAGTCACTGGTTCCAACCAACACTTTTATCCACTGGGCCATATGTCCACGGTCCAGAGGATATTGCTGACTCTTCCGAACAATTACCATGAAGTATCTATAGAAAATGAACAGAGAATCAACTTTACGGTGGTGGGAAAGTAAAGGAAGCCGAGATGCCAGTTCAGGCCCATATATATATATATATATATATATATATATATATATATATATATATATATATGCTCTACTTTTTGTATCGATCACTGTTTTTAAAATAATTACAAAAATACTAAAGAACCTTGGATTATTTACCTAACGAGTTCTTTCCTATTTCCTATATATTTTCACACACACACACACACACACACATATATATATATATATATATATATATATATATATATATATATATATATCTTTCATTACACCTAGGAAATACGCCAGCGGCTCGGAGAACTCAATTCGTATTTGAAGAGTAATGTTTATATATATATATATATATATATATATATATATATGTGTGTGTGTGTGTGTGTGTGTGAGTGTGTGTGTGTGTGTGTGTGTGTGTGTGTGTGTGTGTTCTTTGTGTGTGTTTATGGCAGCAATTTCATTTTCATTGAAAATGACAGACACGGTGTTTTTATTTAGTTTTTTTATACAATTTCTCATGCTATCTAAATATTTTTTTCTTTTCAGATGATAAATTATATGAAAAATGTGCGAATGTTCTTTTCATCCGAGCGCTTTCGGCTATACATTTATTTAGCCATTTTCAAGGATGAAATATTTTAACTGTTAAATAAGAAATAGTTTGTTGCATGTATGTTTTCATTTTTCAAAACACGGTCAAGACAGTGTGTCCATGTTCATAGTTAATATTATTAAATGTTGGTTTTTGTTTTTATTTATAAGGTTTCCATTATTTTTAGCCTTTTTTTTTTTTTGCATGTAGATTATGCCATTATATTAGTGTTGTCAACAACGATGTTACGAATAGTGTCTGGTAGGTCTCCATGAATATTTAAATGAGATCTAATTGAGCTATGATCAGAAAGGTGTAGAGTGAGTCTGCGTGTCAAACATGTTGTAGTGCGGCCTATGTTATTGTTTATGAATTTTGATTGATCCGGAATACAATTCCTTAATGTGCATTTAAATTCGTAAATAATATTTGCACTATTTAATTTTGTTCTAAGAGGTGAATTATTATTTTTGACTATAAGGTTAGAGGTTTTAATTATTTTTCTAATAAATAATTAATCTAATTCTTTTGCTATTATCAACTGGTGTTATGCATTGTTTTATAATGTTCTTAATTCTACTTTCATCTTGTCTATAATTTTCGTTCATTTGATTTTTATAAAAAAAATATTAATTTTATTGTTTATGTTTCTATTCCCGTCGTTGTTATTAGCTACCTTAGACAGAAAACGCCTAATGTGGATAACCAACAATTGATTAGGACATTTTCTATTAAGAAAAGCGCTCTCGTGAGGAAATTTTTAATAACACCTATTTTATATCTAAGAGGGCATTCACTAAAGAAAGTAAGATGGCAAGAGTCTTTACTAATTTTTTTTTTTTTTTATAAACAGATGTTTTAAAAGTATTTTTACTAATATCGACGAGAACATCTAAGAAAGGAAGTTTAGTTTTTTCACTAAGTTCATAAGTAAAATTTAGGACAGAATTTTGTTGAAATGTTGCTTTCAGATTTTCTATTCCTTTCTTGTTTTCATCTAAATAAAAGCACCTTGTCTGTCGTATTCAATTAAATGTGCATATATATATATATATATATATATATATATATATATATATATATATATATATATGTGTGTGTGTGTGTGTGTGTGTGTGTGTGTGTTGTTAAAAACAGCAGAGAAGGATTTTTTAATATTTCAATTAATATTCACACTATACTTACAAGAGAGTGTATATTTGGGTCCGATGTAGATATTTGATATTGAATAATCGTATGCTTTCATTATTGCTTCTGATCCTTTCCAAAATCCGGGGTTATGTAGATATGCTGCTTTTTTCTTATATTTAATCTTTTTCTAATAGTAGTAGTAGGCCTCCGTCGGTCAGGGTTGACCTTGGGTAGCATCCTAGTTGGCTACTTGGCTGGAGTATCGACGTCTGTGACTGTAGTGGCCGATGCAAAAGTGACAATCTCTGTTGCAGAGGTCGCATGTGTGTTCTGTCTCTGGTCGGTTGGAGCTGTCATTGCTTTATGCGGGCCCGCCTTTCCGTGGCGACTTGTGTCAGCTTCTCCTCTCCTGACTTGAGGTATTTGGACAGAGTTCCACTCCACTTGGATCGTATGGCTGCCATCATCTCCCAGGACTCTGTGTTGATGTCCACAGCTTTCATGTCACGCCTCACGACATCGGGGTACCGCAGCTGTGGCCACCCTGCGGCTCTCCTTCCAGACTCCAGCTCTCCATACAGAAGGTCTTTGGAGATGCGGCTGTCTGGCATGCGGTGGATGTGCCCCAACTAACGGAGTCTGCGCTATCTAAACGAGTTAGGGCTTCCAGTATATAGAGTTTTTTTTGTTGTTTTTGTTTTACATTTAATATGACTGTGCTATGATCCATGAGATGAGAGGTTAAATTACGGGATAGAGTAATGGTTGTGTGTCCTACGTATGAATTTAAGCTCGTTTATCATAGGAAATGCAATTTCCTAATGGCATGAGAATTCGTGAATGATATCGTGCGCAGTGGATTATTTTGAAAGCTGTCGTTGTTATTGATGACGAGTTTATATGTTTTTAAGTGCGG